AAGGATTTCTTTTACACGGAGTTGGGGGATTTAAAGCTGGTTTTGGCGGATTTTCAGGATTGGTTCAAGACTATTACGCCTGGTAATCAGGCAAGGGAGTATAAGAAGCAAAGGATTATTATGATGTCGTATGAGGAAAGGATTAAGAGATTGAGGGCGAAGTTGAAGGAACTTACTACAAGGTGAGTGGTAAAATTTACTTGTCAGTAGAGTTCTTTTTTTTGTTTTTTTAGACCGATATTAAAGTGTTTGTGTCAGTAGAGTCGTTTTTTCTTTTTTTTTAGTTTGCTTTTCAGTAGAGTCCCATTTTTCTATTTTTTCTAGTTTGCTTGTTAGTAGAGTCCCTTTTTAAATGTACTAGATCCAATTATTTTATTTGTTCGTTAGTAGAGTCCTTTTCTAATTTTCTAGACCAATATTAAAATGTTTGTGTCAGGAGAGTCCCTTTTCTTATTATTATTAATTTACTCGTGAGTAGAGTCCCTTTTTTTCTATTATTATTAGTTTGCTCGTCAGTAGAGTCCCTTTTTTATTTTTTTTAGACCAATATTAAACTGTTTGTGTCAGTAGAGTCCCCTTTTTCTATTATTTTTAGTTTGTTCATCAGTAGAGTCCCTTTTCTCTTATTTTTACTTTGCTCGTCAGTAGAGTCCCTTTTCTCTTTTATATGCACTTTGCTTGTCAGTAGACTTCCTTTTCTTTCTGTTTTTAGTTTGCTCGTCAGTAGAGTCCTTTCTTTTATTTTCTAGATCAAAATTAAAGTTTGCTCGTAAGTGGAGTCCTTTTTAATCTATATTTTATAGCATTTTTTATTCTAAAAATAAGTCAGAGTCCTCTGTTTCTTTTTTAGAGGCCCTTTTTTATCCCTTTTTGTTAATTTTTAATTTGCTTGTCAGTAGAGTCTCTTTTTATTGTACTAGATCCTAATATTTTACTTTGCTCGTCAGTAGAGTCCCTTCTTAGATCAAAATTAAGTTTGCTCGTCAGTAGAGTCCTTTTCTAGATCAAATTAAATTTGCTCGTCAGTAGAGTCCTTTTCTAGATCAAAATTACATTTGCTCGTCAGTAGAGTCCTTTTTTTTCTAGATAAAAATTGAAGTTTTTTTGTCAGTAAATTTTTATCTTTTAGATCAAAATTAAGTTTGCTCGTCAGTAGAGTTTTTTTTTTATTTTTTTAGACCGATATTAAAGTGTTTGTGTCAGTAGAGTTTTCTATTCTTTTTTCTATTATTTTTAGTTTGTTCGTCAGTAGATTCCCTTTTTTGTTTTATTTTTAATTTGCACGTTTTCTTCTTCATATTTTAAAGTACTCTACTGACTAAAAACATAATTGGCAGAATCCTCTAGTTTGTTCGTCAGTAAAATTTCCTTTTCATTTTCTGTCCAAATATTTAATTTGCTCGTCAATAGAGTCTCTTTTATATTTTTTAGATTAAAATTACAGTTTTTTTGTCAGTAGATTCTTTTTTATGTTTTCTAGGTCAATATTAAGGTTTGCTCGTCAGTAGAGTTCTTTTTCTATTAAAGAACCTACAAATTCGTTGTCAGAGTTTCTTTTTTGTCAAAATATATTTTAAATTTACTCGTCTCTTTTTAAATTCTAGAACAAATTCTTAATTTGCTTGTCAGTAGAGTCTTTTTTTGTAATATTCAAGAGAAAATCAAGTTTGCTCGTCAGTAGAGTCCTTTTTTTAATCTTCTATATCAAATTTTTGGTTTGTTTGTCAGTAGAGTCCTTTTGATAATATTTTCGATTCTTATTAAAGTTTGCTCGTCAGTAGTCTTTTTTCTAATTTTCTAGAAATAAAGTTTGCTTGTCAGTAGAGTCCTTCTTGTAATATTTTAGATCAAATTTTAGGTTTGTTTGTCAGTGGAGTTCCTTTTTGTAATCTTTTAAATCAAATTTTGAATTTGCTTGTCAGTAAAGTCCTTCTTCTGTAATTTTTCAGATTAATTCTTTTCTAATTTTAAGTTTGCTCGACAGTAGAGTCCCTTTTTCTAATTATCTAGAACTAATTCTAAGTTTGCTTGACAGTAGAGTCCCTTTTCAATCTTCTCGATCAAATTTGTCAGTACAGTCGTTTTTTGTAATTTTCTAGATCAAAATTAAGTTTGCTCGTCAGTAGAGTCCCTTTTCAATCTTCTCGATCAAATTTGTCAGTACAGTCGTTTTTGTAATTTTCTAGATCAAAATTAAGTTTGCTCGTCAGTAGAGTCCTTTTTCTAATATTCTAGATCAAATTTTAAATTTGCTCGTCAGTAGAGTCCTTTTTCTGATATTCTAGATCAAATTTTAAATTTGCTCGTCAGTAGAGTCCTTTTTCTGATATTTTAGATCTAATTTTAAATTTGCTTGTCAGTAGAGTCCTTTTTGTAATTTTCTCGACCAATTTCTGAGTTTGCTTATCAGTAGAGTCTCTTTATTTTAATCTTCTCGAACAAATTGTAAGTTTGCTCGTCAGTAGAGTCCTTTTTTATAATTTTCTACATCAAATTTTAAGTTTGCTTGTCAGTAGAGTCACTTTTTATTTTTCTAGAGATCAAATTGTAGTATGCTCCAAATCCAAATTTGCTTGTCAGTAGAGTCCCTTTTTGTAATCTTCTCAATTAAATTTGTCAGTAGAGTCGTTTTTTGTAATTTTCTATATCAAATTTTCATAATTTTCTAGATCAAATTCTAAATTTGCTCGTTAGTAGAGTCCCGTTTTGTAATATTTTCGATTCTTATTAAAATTTGCTCGTCAGTAGAGTCCCTTTTTATTAACTTCCCGTAGGGTAAGTTATTGTAATGGACCGAAAATCGGAATTGAAAATTTTTACATTTCTCGACGTTTTGAAGGTTTCTGAACATTTTGGCATACCTCAGAAAAAATGGATGTGTGTGTGTGTGTGTGTGTGTGTGTGTGTGTGTGTGTGTGAATACAAATTTTCGTCCACGTTTTCGGGCGTACGGATCAACCGATTTGAATGGTTTAAAAAACATTCGATTCCTATTAATAAGGAGAAGAGCTGATTAGTTTTTGGCAAAGGCAGGTCCAGCCGTTTCGGAGATACGGAGCAAAGAGTGCGGAAAATAGAAATCGAATTTTTGAGAGAACGGAGTATCCGATTTGAATGATCTAAAAAACATTCAATTAGTAATGATTGGGAGAAGTGTTTATTAGTTTTTGGAAAAGGCAGGCTCAGCCATTTCGAAGATACGGAGCTAAATATGTAAAAAATGGCAGTTTTTGATAGAAGTAAGCGTCCGATTTGAATGATTCAAAAAACTTTCTGCTTGTCTTAACAAAATAATTGATTTTGGAAAAAAAATTTTTGTTCCATTTTTTTTTTTTTTTTTTTTTTTTTTTTAGTTTTTGTTGAAACAAATAATTTCAACTTTGCAATTCAGTTTATATAATTCTTATAAATATTAGACAATGTTACAATATTTATAATAATCTATTTGAAAACATTCAGTATTCCTCGAACATTTCGTTACGGTACGGGAAGTTCCAGCAATTTGCCTTAGGGCACGATGCCACCCACCCCACTAGTTTAATTTTTAGTTTGCTCGTCAGTAGAGTCCTTTTTTTATTTTATTCTTAGTTTGCTTGTCAGTAGAGTCCCTTTTATTTAATTTTTAGTTTGCTCGTCAGTAGAGTCCTTTTTTTATTTTATTCTTAGTTTGCTCGTCAGTAGAGTCCCTTTTTATTTAATTTTTAGTTTGCTCGTCAGTAGAGTCCCTTTTTTATTTTATTCTTAGTTTGCTTGTCAGTAGAGTCCCTTTTTATTTAATTTTTAGTTTGCTCGTCAGTAGAGTCCCTTTTTTATTTTATTCTTAGTTTGCTTGTCAGTAGAGTCCCTTTTTATTTAATTTTTAGTTTGCTCGTCAGTAGAGTCCGTTTTTCAAATTTGTTATATTTTGCTTGTCAGTAGAGTCCCTTTATTTTTTAAACTAATTTTCTGAACTGAATATTTTCTATTATTTATTCGTCGTCAGTATAGTCTTTTTTGCCTATTGATATTATTGTTTGCACAGTAGAGTCCTTTTTATTTTTATATTAGTAGTCCCTGTTTTGTAATTTTCTCGAACAAATTTTATATTTACTCGTCAGTAGAGTCACTTTATACAAAACTTATCATTTCTCACCATTATTAACCACCATATCTTCTTCCCCAGGCAAATATCATCCCCAGAAGACTCCAAACTAATGCAGGACGACGTCGAAACCTTCACCAAAGGATGGCAAGTGATCATCGACCAGATCTCAGCTCCTCAAAAACCAACCAAGAAGTACCAGGACCGCCTGGACCAATTGACCAAGTTTCTGGATACCTCCAAACAGGAGTTGGCAGCCGCCAACGTTTTAGATTTAGGCGAAATCGAGGAGATGCAGAAGCGGTTGAAGGAGTTGCAGAAGTTGAAAGCTAAAATATCGGGGATGAAGCAGGATTATGACTTTGTGGTGGATTTTAAAGAGCAGGAGGAGGAGGTGGTTGCGGCAGAAGTGGTTGGCGAGTTGAAGGTCAAATGGTGTGATCTGGTGGATGATTTGGAGGATAAGATGAGGAAATTGAATGCAGGTTGGTGGTATAGTCTATTTTTATGATAAAATTTGTAATTAGGGTAGAGTCCTTTTAGTCCGTAGAGTCCCTTTTCATTTGTCTAGATCGAAATTGAATTTACTAGTCAGTAGGGTGTCTTATTAATCGACTAGATCGACATTTTATTTGCTCGTCAGTAGAGTCCCTTCTTTTATTGAAATTTTTATTAGCTCGTCAGTAGAGTGCCTTTTTAATCTTCTAGATCAAAATTAAGTTTGCTCGTCAGTAGAGTCCCTTTTTAGATTTCAGATAAAATTTAAATTGCTTATTAGTATTTCTAATGTTCTAATTTACAAACTTAAAATTGCAAACTTCTAATTTTCTAGATGAAAATTAGAAGTTTTCTCGTCAGTAGAGTCCCTTTTTTATAGTTTGTTGATAATAATTGAATTTGCTCGTCAGTAGAGTCCTTTTTTATCTCTTGATATTTTTATTTGCTTGTCAGTAGGGTCCCTTTTAAATCTTCTAGATCTTATATAAAGTTATATCAGTAGAGTCTCATTTATATTTTCTAAATCAAAATTAAAGTTTGCTCATCAGTAGAGTCCCTTTTTACCTTTTGATATTATTATTTGCTCGTCAGTAGAGTCACTTTTTTCTTCTTGACTATTTTTAGTTGTGCGTCAGTTTTATCCTTTTTTGACCATTGATATTTATATTTGCTTGTCAGTAGGGTCCCTTTTAAATCTTCTAGATCTTATATAAAGTTATATCAGTAGAGTCTCATTTATATTTTCTAAATCAAAATTAAAGTTTGCTCATCAGTAGAGTCCCTTTTTACCTTTTGATATTATTATTTGCTCGTCAGTAGAGTCACTTTTTTCTTCTTGACTATTTTTAGTTGTGCGTCAGTTTTATCCTTTTTTGACCATTGATATTTATATTTGCTTGTCAGTAGGGTCCCTTTTAAATCTTCTAGATCTTATATAAAGTTATATCAGTAGAGTCTCATTTATATTTTCTAAATCAAAATTAAAGTTTGCTCATCAGTAGAGTCCCTTTTTACCTTTTGATATTATTATTTGCTCGTCAGTAGAGTCACTTTTTTCTTCTTGACTATTTTTAGTTGTGCGTCAGTTTTATCCTTTTTTGACCATTGATATTTATATTTGCTTGTTAGTAGAGTTCGTTTTAAATCGTTTTGTTTACAAATTATCTTGCTCGTCAGTAATCTTTTTTAATTCTAAATCAAATTGTAAGTTTGCTCGTCAGTAGAGTCCCTTTTTAATCTTCTTATTTGCAAACCAATTTGTTAGTAGAGTTCTTTTTGCCATTTGACATTTTTATTAGCTTGTCAGTAAAGTTCTTTTGTTTTTATTTTTAGTTTTCTCATCAGTAGAATCCTTTTTCTTTTTATTTTTAATTTACTCGTCAGTAGAGTCCTTTTTTTAATCTTCTTGGGTTAATTTAAAGTTTGCTCGTCAGTGGAGTCCCTTTTTATCTCTCAACATTTTAAGCTTGCTCATCAGTAGAGTTCTTTTCTTTTCTTAAATTTTGCTCGTCAGTAGAGTCCTTTTTGTTTCTTGAAATTTTTGTAGTAGAATTCCTTCTTACCTATAAACAGTTTTATTCGCTCGTCAATAGAGTACTTTTTACCTTTTGACATTTTCAATTTGCTTGTCAGTAGAGTCCCTTTTTACCTCTTGACATTTCTAACCGACCTGATCAAAATTTAATTTGCACGTCAGTAAAGTCCCCTTTTTTCTCTGGATATTTTTACATGCTCGTCAGTAAAGTCCCTTTTAAATCTTCTAGATCTAATATAAAGTTTGCTTGTCAGTAGAGTCCTTTTTGCCTACTGACATTTTTATTAGCTCGTCAGTACAGTTTATTTTCGTTTTCTAGATCACTATTAAAGTTTGCTAGTCAGTAAAGTCCCTTTTTAATCTTCTAAATCTAATTTAAAGTTTGATCGTTAGTAGAGTTCATTTTTCTTTTATTTTTAAATTAATCGCCAGTAGTGTCCTTTTTTTAGATATTTTCAGTTTGATAGTCAGTAGATTCGTTTTCGTTTGATTCGTCAGTAGTCTCTTTTTTTGTTAATTTTTTATTATTAGGTCATCAGTAGAGTTGTTTGTTATATTTTTAGTTTGCTTGTCAGTAGAGTCCCTTCTTCTATTGAAATTTTTATTAGTAGAGTCAAATTGTAGATCAAAGTTTAATTTGCTCGCCAGTAGAGTTCCTTTTTATCTATTAACATTTTCAATTTGATAGAAGTAGAATCCTTTTCATCTATCTAGATCAACTTTTTTGCTCATCAGTAGAGTCCCTTTTAAATCTTCTAGATCTAATTTATAGTTTGCTTGTCAGTAGAATCTCTTTTTATTTTGTTCGTCAGTAGAGTCTCTTTTCATTTTGCTTGTCAGTAGAGTCATTTTTTTATTGTGGATAAAAATTGAATTTGCTCCACAATAGAGTTCCTTTTTAATCGACTAGATCGAAATTTTATTTGCTTGTCAGTAGAGTCCTTTTTTTATTTTCAAGATGAAAATTAAACTTTGCTCGTCAGTAGAGTCATTTTTATAGTTTGTTGATAAAAATTAAAGTTTGCTCGTCAGTAGAGTCCTTTTCTTTTACCTCTTGAAATTTGCTTCTCAGTAGAGTCTCTTTTTAGATTGTAGATGAAATTAGAATTTGCTTGTCAGTAGAGTCCCTTTTTTAATCGCTTAGATTGAAATTTAATTTGCTCGTTAGTGAAATCCTTTTCTATCTCTTGACGTTTTTAATTGCTTCTACATATAATGTAAAGTTTCATTGTCAGTAGAGTCCTTTCTTCTTACTACTTGATATTTTTATCTGCTCGTCAGTAGAGTCCTTTTTTAGATATTTTTAGTTTGATCATCAGTACAATCTCTTTTTTAGATTATAGATAAAAATTAGAGTTTGCTCGTTCGTAGAGTTCCTTTTTAAATTTCAGTTTATAAATTAAAATTTGCTCGTCAGTAGAGTCCCTTTTTACCTCTTGATATTTTTGTTTGCTCGACGGTAGACTCTTTCTTTTTCAGTCAGTAGAGTCTCCTTTTAGATTGTTGATAAAAATTGAATTTGCTCGTCAGTAGAGTCTTTTTTTATCTTCTAGATCAAAATTAAGTTTGCCCGTCAGTAGAGTTCCTTTTTAATGCTTTAATTTACAAATTATCTTGCTTGTCAGTAGAGTCCCTTTCTACTTCTGGATATTTTCATTTACTCGTCAGTAGAGTCCTTTCTTTAGATTATAGATAATAGTCAATAGAGTCTTTTTTAATCGACCAGATCGAAATTTATTTTTTTCGTTAGTAAAATCCTTTTTTAACTCTTGACATTTTTAGTTTGCTCGTCAGTAGAATCCCCTTTTGTTACATACCATTATTTTTAATATAATTTATATAAAGTCGCTCGTCCGTAGAGTCCATTTTGTAATATTGCAGGTTTCCAAATATTTTCCAAAATTAATTTCTAATAAATTATTTAATTTGTAATTAATTTAATCGTTAGTAGAGTCCCCTTTTTTTTTCTTTTTTTTTTTTTAATCTGCATGTCAGTAAAAGTGTTTAATTCTAAAAATTTGCTGGACTAAATAATTTTCAAAAATTTAGTAGTTGTTTTTCCCTTAACAATTTTTACAAGATAAATTTGCTAATCAATCGAGTCCTTTTTATTATATTTTACTAATATTAACCTTTGTCTAATTTTAATTTGCTTGTGAGTAGAGTCACTTTAGTTTTCATGTCGAAATTAATACATTTTTTATCAATTTTAGCACTCAGCTCGTCAGTAGAGTCCTTTTATCTATATTGTTAATTTCCTCGTCAGTAGAGTTCTTTTATCTTTGTTTTTAATTTCCTCGTCAGTAGAGTCCCTTTCTTACATTTCATAGATAATTTATTATTAATTTTTTTTTTATTTTAGCCATAGAAAGTGTAAACCAATTCAACGAAGACGTATCGGGATTAGAAGTCTGGATGCACGACGTGGAGGTGTTTTTGGAGGACGAAAAGGATATTCCGACGGGAGACGAACCCACTTTGGAGGCGAAATTGGAGCAGTCAAATGTAAGTAAAAATTAATAAATTTATTTGTTTAAAATTTGTCAGTGGAATCCCTTTTGTATTTTTATTTTTAGTTTGCTTGTCAGTAGAGTCCCTTTTGTTTTTTAATCCTAATTTGCTTGTCAGTGGAGTCCTTTTGTCTTTTATTTTTAATTTGCTCGTCAGTAGAGTCCCTTTTTCTGTCTTTCTAATTTTGCTCATTAGTAGAGTCCCTTCATTTCTACTTATTTTAATTTGCTTGTGAGTAGAGTTCATTTTTTCAAATCCGAATTTGCTCGTCAGTAGAGTCCATTTTGTTTTTTATTTTTAATTTGCTCTTCAGTAGAGTTCTTACTTTTCATTCTGTTAGTTTGTCAGTAGAGCAAAAATTTAAAAAAATCTATTCACTATGGGTTCGTGTCTAAAAGGGGACTCTACTAACAACCAAACTTTGTCAAAAAGTTCGAACTGCGATAAAAAAGGACTCTACTGACGAGCAAAATTAGAATGACAGAAAAAGGGACTGTACTGACGACCATACTTGAAATTTATTTTATCAGAAAAATTTATTTCTATTAAATTACTAGTATGTTTCCATTTGCTCGTCAGTAGAGTTCCTTTTTCGTTTCATTTTTGATTTGCTCGTCAGTAGAGTTCCTTTTTCGTTTAATTTAATTCGTCAGTAAAGTCCCTTTTTTTCTTTAAGCTTTAGTTTTATTTTGCACGTCAGTAGAGTCCCTATTTTTTTAAATTTTTAGTTTGCTCGTCAGTAGAGTCTTTTTTGTCTTTTAACCATTAATTTTGCTCCTTTTATTCTCATGTTTTTTTGTCAGTAGAGGCCTTTTTATTATGTCTTTCCTCAGTAGAGTCCTTTTTCTTTCTATTGTATTTTGTTCGATAGTAGAGTCCCTTTATTGTTTTATTTTAAGTTTGACGTTAGTAGAGTCCCTTTACAATTTCATTTCGAGTTTTCTCGTCAGTAGAAGCCTTTTTATCTTGCAATTTTGTTTGTACGTCAGTAGAGTCCTTTCATAGTTTCATTTTATTTTGATCGTCAGTAAAGTCCCTTTATTCTTTTATTTTAAGTTTGACGTTAGTAGAGTCCTTTTTCTTTAATTTTTTTTAGACAAAAAGGACGCTACTGACGAACAAATTCAAAACGTACTAAATATAATATAAAAATATAATTATAAGAAAAAATGACTCTACTGACGATCTCGCCTGTGATAAAAACATCAGTGGGAAGAAAAAAGGACTCTACTGATGAACAAAATTATTGTGGTTTGTTATATTGATCAAATATGAGTTAAAAAGTATAGGCATGTTGGGCATCAAATGAAAGGTCTCGACTAGCACTATCTAAACATCATACTTACAAAGTCAATAAACCTACAGGGTTCCGTACTCATAATTTCTGTATTTTTTTAACATTAATTTCTGCTATTTTAAAGTGAACCAAATTGCTGTAGAGTGTTAGTGTACAAGACAATATTATGCATAATTTAATTTAGAGCAAATTTACCGAATAAACCATATACTTTGGACGAACCGTTCAAAAGTCACAAGAGATTTTTTAAAAAGTAAACCATTGGGTTGCAGAACTCTGTGTCAAACATGACCTAAGAAGTTTTACTTCAAATATAGGCATGTTGGGTATCAAATGAAAGGTCTCGACGAGCACTATAAGAAAATCATATTTATATCCCATTAACGTTCCGTACATTGCATTCATGCAATTTGAAATAAGAATGTTTGCTATTTTAAACTATACCAAGCTTTTTGTAGGGCTTCTAAATTATAACATGTCATAGGTAATTTAATTTAGAACAAATTTGCCGAATATTTCATTCAAATCGAACGAAGCGTTCAAAAGTTACAAGAGACGTAACAGAAACCGACCAATGGGTTGCATAACACGAAAACAGACATAAGTCGGAAAGTTTTACTTCAAATATAGGCATGTTGGGTATCAAATGAAAGGTCTCGACGAGCCCTATCCAAAAAACATTCTTAAGGTTCCGTACCTAATTTACTATCATCTTTTTCCTCCCCAGGCTTTACTAGACGACCTAGAAACCCTCCAACCAAACGTCGAGAACATCAACTCAATAGCAACCAAACTCCAAAGCACCAGCCAATCACAATCCTTCACCACGAAACTCCAATCCGACTTGGCCAGTCTCAACCAATCCTGGTCCGAGACGGTCACCAACGTCAACGCACACAATTGTAACCTCAAAATGGCTTTGGAGAAGACGAAGAAGGTGCTGAGAGAGATACAAGATACGGAGAAGTGGCTCGACCAATTGGAGGACGAGATACCGTCGCCGGAGACCAATAGGGCTATCACCAACTCGGCGGAGCTGTTCAGAGTGAAAGAGAAGTACCAGATACTGAAAGAGAAGTGCGATGAGAAGTCGATCGGGTTTAGGAATTTGAATGAGGAAGGTTAGTGAGGATAAAAAGGGATACGTTTCGGGAGTGTGGTTTGTGTCATCATAAGGGGAAATGGATGGATGAATGGTTTTAACACTATTAGGGCGTTAGTAGAGTTTTTTTTGAGCGGATATTTAGTTTGCTGGTCAGTAGAGTCCCTTTTTTAATCAACTAGATGAAAATTAAATTTGTTCGTTAGTGGAGTTCCTTTTTAGAATGATGAATTTCAGATGTTTAGAATATTTAGATTACTTTTTTCCTGGAAATATATTTCGTTTGCTCGTCAGTAGAGTCCTTTTTAATTATCATTTCTTTTTCTTTTTAGTCTAAATGTGATATTTATTTTGCTCGTCAGTAGAGTCCTTTTTCTTCATTTTTGATTTTGCCTGTTAGTACAGTCCTTTTTCCTTTAGTTTGATAACTTTCGTAGACTTTTTTCTTGAAGATATATTTAAGTTGCTTGTCAGTAGAGTCCTTTTGTTTTGAGAAGGTTCTTAGGTTGCTTGTCAGTAGCGTTCTTTTTGTTTGAAAGTGATATTTTACGCATTCTTGTCAGTAGAATCCTTTTTATTTGGTTTTGATGTTAACAGTTTGCTTGTCAGTAGAGTTCTTTTTTAATTTTGTTTTGAAAAGATGTTATCTATTAAATCAAAATTAAATTTGTTTGTCAGTAGAGTTCCTTTTTATCCGGTTATCATGTTTAAAATTTGCTCGTCAATAGAGTCCTTTTTGTCGCGTTATGATATTTAATTTACTTGGCAGTAGAGTCCTTTTTTCAGAAAATATTTAGGTTGCTTGTCAGTAAAGTCCTTTTATTTTGAAAAGATTTTTAAGTTGCTAGTCAGTAGAGTCCTTTTTTAGTTTGCTTTCTAGTAGAGTTCCTTTTCGAGGAATTATGTTTACAGTTTGCTTGTCAGTAGAGTCCCTTTTGTCTTTTAATTTTAATTTGCTCGTCAGTAGAGTTGCATTTCTAATTTTTTTAGTTTACTCGTCAGTAGAGTCCTTTTCTTCTAAAATAGAGAGATAAATTAAATTATTACATTAGCTTGGTTGTCAGTAAAGTTCTTTTTTGAGATATTTAGAATTGCTGATTCGTAAAGTTTCTTTTATTTTTATTTTTACTTTGCTCGTCAGTAGAGTCCCTTTTTTAATCAACTAGATCAAAACTAAATTTGTTCGTCAGTAGAGTTCCTTTTTAGAATGATGAATTTTAGATGTATATTTAGAGTACTTTTTTCTTGGATATATATTTAGTTTGCTCGTCAGTAGAGTCCTTTTCTTTATATTTTTTATTTTCTCTTCAGTAGAGTTCTTTTTTTGAGAATAGATTTAATTTGCTCTTTAGTAGAGTCCATTTTTTGAAAATATTTTTAAGTTCCTTGTCAGTAGAGTCCTTTTGCTTTGATGAGGTTTTTGAGGTTTTTCAGTAGAGTCCTTTTTTCAGAAAAATATTTAACTTGCTCGTCAGTAGAGTCCTTTTTCGCTATTATAGATAAAGATTAGAACTATTACATTCATTTGGTCGTTAGTAGAGTCACTTTTCAACTTTGAAGTCATCTTTGTTTGAAAGATATTTAGTTTGTTTGTCAGTAGAGTCCTTTTCATCTCGTTATGATGTTCAAAGTTTGCTCGTCAATAGAGTCCGTTTTTTCTTAAAAGTGATACTTAATGATTGTTTGTCAGTAGAATTCTTTTCTTCTTTTGCTCGTCAGCAGAATTCTTTTACCTGGTGGAGATATTCAGTTTGTAGAATTGCTAGTCAGTACAGTTTTTTTTCTTTTTATTTTCGATTTGCTCGTTAGTAGAGTCCTTTTTATTAAATATTTGAATTATTCGTCAGTGGAGTTCTTTCTTGTTAATTTTTCAGTCGAGTCTTTTGCATTAAAGTATTAGTTTAGCTCGTCAGGAGAGTCCCTTTCTGAAGAGATATTTATTTTGCTCGTCAGTAAATTATTTTTTTGTTCAGTTTGCTTGTTAGTAGAGTTCCTTCTTTAGATATAATGTTTACAGTTTTGTTCGTCAGTAGAGTTTTTTTCTTGACGAGATATTTGATTTGCTTGTCAGTAGAGTTCAAAAATTCCTAAAAAAAAAATTAATCACGTGATCAATGGACGCTTCCTTTTGATATGTGATTTTTAGTTTGTCAGTAGAGTCTTTATTTCTTGAGAGATATTTACAGTTCGCTCGTCAGTAGCCTCTTTTCTTTTCATTTCAGTTTTGCTTGTCAGTAGAGTCCCTTTCACTTTTATTCTTGCTTTGCTCGTCAGTAGGGTCCCTTTTACTTCAAGTATTAATGTTGCTCGTTGGTAGAGTCCTTTTCCTGATATTTTTTTGCTCGTTAATGAAGTCCCCTTTTACTTTCAATATTATGCTTGTTTGTTAGTAGACTTAGTGATATTTAGTTTGCTCGTCAGTAGAGTTCCTTTTCTAAATAATTTAGATTAGCTAGTTACTAGAATTCCTTTTTCTGTTATTTTTCCTTTGCTCGTCAGTTAAAGTCCCTTTTTATAACTTTGCTTGCTAGTAGTCATTTTTGTGACGAGATATTTTAAAAGTAGGGTTATTTTCTTGTGCACATTCAGGTTGCTTGTCAGTAGAGTCCTTTTTTTCTTAAAATTTAGAATTGCTAGTCGGTAGAGTTCCTTTTCCTTTTATTTTTAGTTTGCTCGTCACTAGAGCCCCTTTTCTTGTTATTTTTTTTGCACGTCAGTAGAGTCAGTTTTTCTTTTATTTTTACTTTGCTCGTTAGTAGAGTCCCTTTTTACTTTTCCGCCGTAGAGTCTCTTTTGTCTTTCAATTTCCATTTGCTAGTCAGTAGAGTTTTTCTTGGTGATTTTTTTCAGTCAAGTTTTTTCCTGTTTATTTAGTTCGATTTTCAGTGGAATCCTTATTGTGTTATTTATTTTTCGGAAGAGTCATTTTTTTCTAATAAACGTAAGTAAATTGAATTTAGCATTAATTTGCTCGTCAGTAGAGTTCTTTTTTGTGATGTTTAGAATTGCTTGTTGATAGGGTTCCTTTTCTTTTTATTTTCAGTTTGCTTGTCAGTAGAGTCCCCTTTTACTTTTTATTTTTAACTTGCCGTATTGTAGTTATAGTAATTGCCGAAAATCGAAAATGAAAATTGTAGCATATCTTCACGTTTCACACGTTTCTGAACATTTTACTGGCATACCTAATAAAAAATGCATGTGTGTATGTGTGGATTCAATTTGTCGTCCACGTTTTCCGGCGCATGGATCAGCCGATTTGAATGGTTCAAAAAACCTTCGGCTCCTATCGATAGGGAGATGTGCTGATTAGTTTTCGGTAAAGGCAAGGTCCATCCGTCACGGAGATACGGAGCAAAGAGTGCAGAAAATAGAAATCGAGTTTTTGAGAGAACAGATCATCCGATTTGTATGATCCAAAAAACATTCAGTTCGTAATAACGGGGAAAAGTGGTTATTAGTTTTTGGCATTTAATATTCCTCGAATGTTTAATTAGGGTACGGGATTGTCCCAGCAATTTGACTTAAGGCACGATGCCATACCCACTAGTTTATTTAGTATTTGCTTCTTTTCCACAGGTAACGACATGATGCTGAGTGCTGAAAAGAATCCCCTGACAGACCTGGCCAGGAAATTTACTCACCTGAATGCACGATGGACCGAAGTCACTGCCGGAATATACGAAAGGTAATTATTACAAATATATATATATATATATATATATATATATATATATATATATATAAAGTATCCTATGTCCTTCTCCTGGCTCTAGACTACCTCTCTGCCAATTTTCAGCTAAATCGGTTCAGCCGTTCG